GCTACAAATGTCTTGGCTGCAGAGAGCCACTCTGCACAAAGTCATATCTTTTCTTGAACCAACCCACTGGGAAAAGGCCAGGCCATTCTGGCCCAACTCAGGACAACTCTGAAAAGACGTGCTAACTCCAGAACTCCCTATGAGTCAGCCAAAGCTATCTGTGGGCCTGCATCACAGTTCAACTTTTCCCTCTGCCCACTCTTATTTCTTTCCCCTATCTTCCATGGAGTATATACTCCCAAATAAACATCCTACACATTAGACCCCATCTACTTCCTGGACAACCTAACCTGTGACAAACTCTGACCCAGCAGTGTTTCAAGGCATTATTCAACATTATTAATAACATTTGAGCACATTTACATGGGTCAGTAGATATTATACTTTTTGCTACTGTATTCTACTGTATAAACTATTCAACATTGTGCTCAACCCAGTCATGCTAATATTTTCACAAGATTATAGACTGACTGATAACATTACCAAGCTATTTTATGTCTTCTTTATGAAATAATAATAAGCTTAGCTGTATCAGAGTGCTTTGAACTCTTTGGAATCTAGTTAAATTCTCATTGGTGAAATTGACCAGGTAGCATTTTATGTCTATTTTATTTTTTTTTAAATTGGCTGAAAAAGAATAGTCCTTTCTGCAGGGTGTGGTGACTCACGCCTGTAATCCCAGCATCTTGGGAGGCTGAGGTGGGTGAATCATGAGATTAAGAGATTGAGACCATTCTGGCCTACAGGATGAAACCCTGTCTCTACAAAAAATACAAAAGTTAGCTGGGCATGGTGTAGTCCCAGCTACTTGGGAGGCTGAGGCAGGAGAATCACTTGAACCTGGGAGGTAGAGGTTGCAGTGAGCCAAGATCGTGCCACTGCACTCCAGCCTGGTGACAGAGTGAGACTCTATCTCAAATAAAAGAAAAAAAAAGAATAGTCCTTTCCATATGTCTCAAATGTCTCCTGCAGACTGGAATATTTCTAGGCTTTATTATCAGCAGAAGTGATGAGACCCTATAAGTAAAGTTCTCACCATAAATGAATCACAATTAGAAGAACCTAGTGCTGAAGCACAAGCTGTTTCTGATGTAACATTCCTAGCCTAGAACCATTCTCTTGTCATAGAATCATCCGTCTTAACCTCAAAAGGGACTGCCCAGTCCCCGGAATTGAGGAAAGTAAGACATCTCCATTTTACAAAAAATAATAGCATCTAACACTTAAGTACTTACTATGGGACAGGTATTGTGATAAGTGACTCATGTATATTGACTTCCTTAATCCTCACAACCCTAATGGAAGAATTATTCTTATCTCCATTTTTGAGATGGGAAAACCTGAAAGGTTGAGTAATTTGTTAAAAGTCACCCAGTTAGATGATCATAGATCTAAGGATTTGAAATAGGGTCCCTGTGATTGGAGACCTTCTGTTCTACATTGCGTCTCAAAAGCATCTGAGGTCCAGGGCTCAATACCTGTCCCAGTTGACAGAGTTGATAAGTGATTAAACTGGGGAGGAGTAATTAAAGGCAGAGTGGATCTTTGGCCTTCCCATGCAGTGACTATTCTTCTAGTGCGGATGGTGATCTTTTTGTGGGTCATGAAATCAACTTAGTGGGTCATGAACAACATTCAAAGAGAAAAAAAGAGGTGGTGGGGAATGAGAAAAAGGAAAAGAAAAGAAAGGAAGAGAGAAATAAAAAAAGAAACGAATATGTCATCCTGCACCACATGTATTCAGAAGAGTATTATTCTGTGAAACTTTTCTTCCATTATATATGTGCATGCTGTGTTATGAAAAAAATATAGCTTTCTTACTGTAGGCTGTAGTACAAAAAGATGATTAGCTTTCATTCAAACTCAATAGTCATCAGGAAATAAAATTAAAGTAATAAAATACCACGTTTTCAGAGGCAAAATATGTTAAAAAACAAAACAAAACAAACCTGAATGCCTGTCAATAAAAAACAGATTAATAAATTATATATTCACACTACAGCTATTAAGAATGCTATACACATTAAACTAGGAGAATTTCCCATGTTTAAGAAAGAAAAGCACACTGCAGATAAATGCATGTGGTATGATCTTATTTTTGTACAACACACAATGAAACAATGAAACCCCCAACAGAGAGGTAAACATTTGGGCGGTGGATTGAGTGGAATGGAAGAGAAAAGAGAGAAGTAGAAAGTAAGGAAAAGAACTACAGAAGCTTATAGCAAAATAAGTATGTCCTGTATATTCAGGGTCTCATGGGCAATGGAAGACATATGTAAACTGGAAATCAGGAAGAGTTTAATAGAGTGACTAGTTACAAAGTTGTGCGAAGTGCTTAGGAAAACCAACAGGGGATAGTCCCCTGGGTTTATAACAGCAGGGAGCCATTACTACCACCTGGGGCTGAAGGGGCACATGAGAGTGGTTACCAGAACCTGGAGTGGACAGCCATATGGAAAGAGCCTCTAGATAAGTGCTGTGGACTTTGGAAGGAGGAGGCCATCAACCTGCTGTGACTGGCAGGGAGGAAGAAGATTTCTCTCTCCTCTCATCCTCCAGTCTCCTGCTGGTGCATCCCACTGGCCAACACAACTGGAGGCCAGAGGGCCAGGGGACTCACTGATGTGGCCTACAAAGGTCAGCTGCCAAGGATTGGCCTGGGCAGGGTCAGAGCACGGTAGAGGGCTCTGGAGAGCAGTCCTAAAGGGACACTGGAGGGGACGCATCCAACACAGAGTATTAGAACATTCAGTGAAAAGGTAGAAGAATATAAATCCCATCTACCATGTTTTTATTTACATGTAAAAATTAAATATTCACATGGATAATAATTAAAGGGGTATCAGGGCAAATGGCAGTATTGGTTTGCTTTTGTGATAGTATTTTAGATTTGGGTTAATCCAATCCAGTATCTTCAAAAATAATTCTATTTAAAGGACAGTTTTCTTTTTTATTCTTTGAAGCAAAAGAGACCTGAGTTAAAATTCTGACTCTGCTTTACATTGCTGTTTCTCTAACTTCCTCATCTCTAAACTGGGAATAATAAAAGCACCTATGATTGCTAAGAGGATTAAATAAGCTAAGTGATTTTGAGATCTTAGAACAGTAGTTGGCACCTAGTAAATGCTTTGAGTGTTTGCCGTTATTTATGGGGCCAACAGGACATCAAGAGCCTCCACAGCCAGGCGTGGTGGCTCACGTCTGTAATCTCAGCAATTTGGGAGGCTGAGGCAGGCGAATCACTTGAGGCCGGGAATTTGAGGCCAGCCTGGCCAACATGGTGAAACCCTGTCTCTACTAAAAATACAAAACTTAGCCGAGTGTGGTGGCACACACCTGTAATCCCAGCTACTCAGGAGGCTGAGGCAGGAGAATCTCTTGAACCTGGGAGGTGGAGGTTGTGGTGAGTTGAGTTCTCACCACTGCACTCTAGCCTGGGCAAGAGAGTGAGACTCCATTTTCAAAAAAAAAAAAAAAGGCCTCCCAGTGGGTCTGCCCGTCTCCATCCCCACCTCCAGTCCATCCACCATCCAGCCAAAGCAAGTTTTCTGTAAAGGGCACTCTCGATCATGTTGCTGTCTTCCTTGAATTCAGTCAGCGGTCTCCAGACCTCACAGGACAATATTCAAATGTCACCCTTGCAGGTATCTCCAGCTTCATCCTTTTCAACTCTTCCCCATGTGCCTTCACTCCGGCCACACCAGTTCCTCCTGGTTCTGTACAAGTACCATGCTCTCCCATGTCCTGAGAATTCTGCTGGAAATGCTTTTTCCAGACCATGTCACCTTCCTACCTTGCTAACTTTTACTACTCATCATTGAAATTTCAAGTGTCATATCCCCTGAAAATACTTCCTGTTCACCCCAGTCTCTTTAGAAACAGCTACTTTGTCATCCCATAGAATCCCATGCAGGCTGTATCACACCACACTCCAAATCATGAGCGTACAAATTCCCCCATCAGTAGTGGACCTCTCAAAGGTAGCAATGTCAATTTTCATCTCTGGGCCCCAGCCTAGAGCAGAGAACCTGATGAGAGTCGACACTTAATCCTGATTTATCTGGGGATTACATTCATAAATGAACAAGGTAAGTAACTTTACTGATCCACAGTCATTCAGCTAAGTAGGTGGCAGAGCCAAAATTCAACCCCAGCTCTGTTTGACTCCAAAGGCCACTACTTTCCCCCAACCATCTGGAAGTTCTATGGTTGCCCTTGGAGTAGCTGCATGCCTGAGGGAACTCCCCGGGGCACTAGACTAGCTCTAGCCAGAATGAACTGGTCAGCAGAGTCCGGGAGAAATAAACGCCTCCTTTCTGGGAGTATCAACCACATGACATTTGCGTTATCAAGGGACTTTCCCAAGAAAATCAATTTCTGGAGCATGTTAAAATACAAACAAACCACCATCCACCCACCCACTTCTTAAAGACAATTGGTCCAAAGAGATCTTAGAGAATTCAGACAATTCCACAATGTTGAGAGCACCATCTGATCACATGAACTTTGTTTTCCCTAACCAAGCATTTTTCTGTGGAATTTTGATTTTAAATTTGGCTCCACTGTGAAATGTACATCCCCATACTCAATTGTTTCACCCACAGCAAACCTGTGTACACAGCCACAGATACCCTAGGGATTCTTGACATAGGCACCATTTGAGATTTGCTCTCGTGGTTTATGATGATGTTACCAGAATCCCTTGATAACAGTGTTTATATCTATTTATAACTGTAACCTATTATCCTATTTTCCATATAATTGGATGCGACTGAGGTTAAAAAAAATTCAGCTGCATAAGAAAAGTCATGCTCTCACAGAGCAGATGTTTGCTCAGCATGGAAAGTAAATTAGCCTTTAACACAAATACCCAGAAACACATAAGCATCCTTTCCAAAAGCACTGATGTTAATATTTCATAATGAAAAATAATTTAAAGATATTTAACATGCAAGGAAGTAACCACAGATAGTTTTTAAAATAGGTGTTAATTTTACCTCTTTAAGGTATTCTTGTGCTTGCAATTCAGGCATTGGATTCTTTCTCCAGTCCAGGGTAGAGAAAAATGATTTATAATCTATTTGTTTTTCACTGTTTTCAAACCTGAAAATATAACATATAATTTGACTCAATCTGCAGAATTCAAGACCAAAATGTCAGCTTCAATTTTACCATGAAAATATAATACCATGTATGCTTCAATATCTGATATTTTTCTTATTTCTTAAAATTTCTTATTGCTTTTTACCCTCCAGAATGTAAATTTTTTGAGCGGGGATCTTCCCTATCTAATTCATTGAAATATCCCCAGCAACAAGATCAGTGCTGGCACTTAGGTAGGTGTTCAATAAATACTTTTGTAGTTGTCACAGAAACAAATTTGCTTATTCAGTAACTAAGATTATAGTGATATTTTGTTAAAAATATTTAAAGGTCCTTTTAGTTTAATGTTTGATATTATATGTCACCAAAATAGAATGTCCTTATATTTCTTAAATTGCATACCTTCTAAATCTTTAAGGTAAGCTAGATTCATTTGTCTAGCAGTATATTTTTTGAAAAACTACAAGGCATCATTATTATTTATTATGTGGCCATTAAAAGGGGTTGTTTAGATCCATATTTGCTATTATATAAATATGTTATTGGTACACTGTTGAGTAGATATGAGGCTGTAAGGCTGGGTGCAGTGACTCACGCCTGTAAGCCCAGCACTTTGGGAAGTCAAGGCGGGTGGATCACTAGGTCAGAGTTTGAGATCAGCCTGATCAACATGGTGAAACCCCATCTCTACTAAAAATACAAAAATTATCTGGGCGTGGTGGCACATGCCTGTAATCCCAGCTACTCGGGAGGCTGAGGCAAGGAGAATCACTTGAACCAGGGAGGCAGAGGTGGCAGTGAGCTGAGATCATGCCACTGCACTCCAGCCTGGGTAACAGAGTGAGACTCGTCTCAAAAAAAAAAAAAAGTAGAAAGAAAGAAAGGAGGCTGTAAAACAGCATGAAGAGTTATGATCCCACTTTAGGTTTATATTTACATTAAAAAAAAAAACAGAAAAAAGTATGGTAGCAATAGACTTATGTATTAAGAATAGATATCTCAGGGAAGAGAGATTCTGATTTTTACTTTTTCTTTAGACTTTTCTGTATCATCTGAATTGTTTTAAGCTTAGAATCAGAAAAACCTCAGCCCATTTTCATTTTGAAAAAAAATTAACAAATGATTATTTGACCTGTACCATAAAAATACAGGTCAAAAATAATGAATCCCTTTGACCACTATTTCCTAATTATGGGATCATTTTGACAGTTTTTAAGGCTAATTATCATGTGACATCAATTTTTGAAGGAAAGTACAAAGTGGTCACTAGACAGTGTTCCAGGCACCCTATTCCAGGCTCCTGCCCTTAAAATTACTCAAAATCAGTCCAAAACTTTTCTCTTTTCTTCTCTAAGTATTAAAAAATTAATAGCTTATATTTATGAACTAATAAAAATTAGCAGCAATAAATTAAATGTTATAAGCTGAAGTCACATAGCCTCACCAATCTAAACAAAATGGAATAAACAAAGTAACCAGAAGAGGCAAAAGGGGAATTCTGTAATTCTTTTGTGTACATTTTCTTTGGCCAAGGATTCTAAGATACAATTCCAATGTGCTGCCCCCTACCCACTGTTTACCCTTTAAATTGTGGCTCTAGTCATTTCAACTCCTTTAAAGGATGTGCTCTGTTTAAGGAAATATTTATAGCCAAATGTAGGGCCATTATTCCCTTTATTTGTGGATGTTTTGGGGAAAGAATGAAAACTCAATTAAAGATGTCTCATAATAAACTTTTTTTTAGCACAGAGCCTTGAAATAAAGTACTTCCTAATATTCTGAGTAGGAGCTAAGGTCAAAGAATGAGCTCATTGTAGGACCTTTGGCTTTTATGCTGAGGAAAACTAAGAGCCACTGGAGCATATTATACAGAAAGGTTATGAGACCTCTGACATGCTGAATGTTTGTGTCCCCTCAAAATTCATATATTGAGACCTCATCAATGTGATGATATTAGGAGGTGGGGCTTTAGGGAAGGTGATTAGAAAGTAAGGGTTCTACCTTCATAAATGAGATTAGTGCCCTTATATTAATTAAAGAGACGCCAGAAAGCACTCTTGCCTCCTCTGCCATGTAAGGATTCAGAGACAAGGCATCATCTGTGAACCAGAAAGTGGGCCCTCATCAGACCCCAGTCTGTTGGCATCCTGGTCTTGGACATCCCAGCCATGAGAGCTCTGAACAATGAATTTCTGTGGTTTATAAGCCGCCTAGTTTATGGTATTGTTATAGCAATCCAAACAGACTAAGAAGGGACTTATGATTATTTTTAAAAGATCACTCTGACTGATATATTCAAAGTAGAATACACGGGACAACAGAAGTGGCAAGGACAGTTAGAAGTCCCTTGTGGGGATCCAGATGAGAGATAATGGCAGCTTAGATGAGGGCAATGGCACTGGAAGGCAGTGAGGAGTGGCCAATTCTGAAAAAATTTGAATGTAGGATTCCTAAAAGACTATATATAGTGTGTAAGAGAGAGAGAGAGGGAGAGAGATAGAATTCAGGATAACTCTTAACACCTCTGCTTGAATAACTGGAGCAATGGAGCTGCCCTAACTGAAGAAGAGAAAGACTGCAGGGGCTATAGGTGGGAAAGACCATGAGCTCAGTTTTGGATATGCCACATTTGGATGGAAAGTGAGCAACTGGGGCTATGAGTCTGAAGCTCAAGGAAGTAGTCCATTTGAAGATAAAAATGTGGGAGTCATAAGCCATAGAGAAGGTATTTAAAGCCATAAAACTGGGAGACTTGATGAGATCATCAGTAAAATAAGTTTCTCTATCTGTTCTTACAGTACAGAATTTATCAGTAAATTCCCATTCATCAATTGTAAGAGTCACTTATTCGATCCTAGGGGTTTCAGAAGTATAATATCCCGGTAATCTGGGAACCAGTCAAAGACTACCAAATAAGTCTAGGATCACATCAGACTTCACTCCTCGTATACAATCCACTAAGCAGTCCTGTGGGTTCTACCATCATAGCATATATTTCTCTCCATCCCTTTTACTACTCCCTAATTCTAAGCCACTATCGTCTCTCACCTGGATTATGGCAATAACTTCCTGTCTTGGTCTTGCTACGTCTACTCTTACCTTGCTGCAGACCATCGTCTACCACAGCGCTCTCTCTAAAAGACAGATCAGATCAATCACTTTCTTGCTTGCAAGAAAGTTTTAAGTGGCTTCCCAATCCACTTAAAACACAAGCTGAACTCTTTATCAGGGTTTATAAGACCCGACTTAATCTGGCTGCTGATGGCATCTCTGATTACATCTCCTCACCGGAAAATGCTCTCTCTGTTTACAATGTGTCAGGTATAGTAACCACCTTCTGGTTCCCTGATCACGCCAAGATTGCTGGCAGAAACACAAGGCATTTGCACTTCTGGTCCCTTTGTCTGGAAAGTCCCATTTCAAATGTTGCTTCCTTAGAAAGATCCTCCTGAAGTTCCTCTTATCTGAGTCCCTATGCCTGAATTTCCATTTGCCCTAGATGATGGCACTGGAACTTACTGGAAAATTTCTGGAAGTTACCACAGGAAGTTCTATTTTTAGACTTTGTTACCACTAACTCTGATATTTACCTGTTACCTCATAACACCCAGTCTTCCTTCCTGCCCGGTTCATGATATGTCAGACTCAAAACACAGACCATATATCCATGTAGGGGGACATTTGAGGATATTTAGGAATCAAATGATATTCAGGAAGATGCACTAAGTAAAAGTATACACAACTCAGAAATAATGTCTAAATGTATTTTGAGAAAAAATGTTTGAATGAATTTATCTTTCCAAAATCCCAGAGCCAGGCCTAAAGGAAGAGTTGCGGTAATATGGTAAAATACTCCAAGTTTTTCTTTTCAGTTCTGTCGTAGAGGATCTTAGTGTATGTGGGAATACCCCCAAAAGGCACAAGGGAGAAAAGAACAAAGAATATTTCAATTAAAAGGAATAAAACTAGCTCATGTTTCTTGGAAGAATTCTTTGCTCCTGGGAAGTAGACAGAGTTGCAGTAAATCACGATGAATCAATCACAAATATTTCTCTCCCTTTTCCCCCAAATCCTACCAAAATGAACAAAAAAAGAATAAAAATAGGTTATAACCCACAATGACAAAGAGAATTGGGAAAAAGACAATGATAGAGAAGAGACTTCAAACTTTTATCAAGATGAAAAGTAAACAGAGGATTGGTTAACTAACTTGGCAGAGCTGAGGAAGAGAAGCTGAACCCAAAATGTTCATGTCAATAGGGGGGAGGCACTCAGAGTCCAGTCAATTTGGCCCACAAAATTCGTCAGAGACGAATTCTGGCACCTGGAATGACTGCAGACTCCAGGTGCCAATAAAGGCAGGAATATGGTGTGGCACTGAAAACAAGGATTGTTTGAAAACCTGAAGAAAGCAAGAGCAACTGAACCACCAAATATCTTCCTCCACACTGTGCTCCTCCCTGTGGAGAGCAGAGGTTTGTTCTCCTGAGAAATTCAATGAAAGAAGCTCCAGTTTGGAGAGAGGAGGCATAACGGAGTGCAGAGGACAAGAAGCTGTCAGGAGCCTTCCTTCCCCTTTTCTATTGCAAGAATACCAGTGACCATGCTTAAACTCTCCCTTTCCCCCATCCCACCCTCCCTCCTACCTTAGCAGGGGAAGATAGGATTCTTCTCCCCATACTCTGAATGGTTCCAGAGAAATGTCCAGATTCTAGGTTCTGCGGAATCTCTAATAAAATGAAGTCTCAGGAGTTGACTGGGCAGTGGAATCCACTAATCAACAAACCCCTTCGCCTGACCAAAGCATCCAACATTAAAGACAGAAGCCAAGACAGCAACAGACAAGAAAAAGGAACCAAAGGCAATTCAGGGAACAGAGGGAAAGATGTGAGATATGAGCATATATCATATTCCTGAAAAAAGAACCAAAGACTACAAGAAAAAAATATCTGGATGAAAAACATGCTCTTGGAATTTAAAATGTTAATATGATAGCAGTA